GCGCCGCGCCCAACGACTGGGCAAAGCGCAGACCAGGATAAACCAAAGCCGTTCGGGGGGGGGCTGAGGGAGGGGCGGGAGGGGGATAATGTGTGTGTGTCCCATTCCCCTCCCCTTCCCCTCCGCTGAGAATGAGCTCGCCCGGCTTCGAGGCCGCGCTGGCCGTGCCTGCCCGCCCCGAGCGCGAGCGGGAAGCGGTGGGGCGTTCCTGCCCCCTCGGGAGAGCGCAGTCGCGGTATCTGCGCGGGGGTCGCTGTCCCCCCGTCCTTCCCCCCCTCCACCTCCCCGGCGACTCGGAATCGTTTCTACCAAGCGGAGCCGTAGGGTCGGGGAAGGGCGATGCCACGGGTTACCCTGGCGGAAAGGGAGAGGGAGGGCACGGGGAAATCGCAGCAGCCTCCGCTGCGAGGGACAGGAATGGTGTCTCCCGAAGCGGCGGGCAGAACCATTGGGAATTAGAAGGGCAGACCCGCAGCTGGGCGGGGGAGGAGTGGGCGGTGCTGGGCGGGAGGAGGCGGGAAGTGAGTGAAATACAGAACTGGGAGGAGAGCAAGAGAGAGCGGCTCGTTGGTCTAGGGGGATGATTCTCGCTTCGGGTGCGAGAGGTCCCGGGTTCAAATCCCGGACGAGCCCGCCGGGAGGGGGGAGCACGACCACCTCCTGTTTTGCACCCCTCGGCGGCGTTTTTGTTTCCTCGGGCCCGCCCGTCAGCGGGTGAGTGGGCTACGGGAAGGATCCCACGCGGGGCCGGGAGGAGCGGCGGGGGCCGCACTGCTCCGGCGGCGCGGCCGCGGTGGCGGAGGTAGGGGCGAAGTGGGCCCTGGAGGAGGGGGAAGGAGGCGCCCTGTGCGGGGCGAAAGACCTGAGAGATGACCCCTTCTTCCCCGTGAGTTACTAAACGCTTATTCCTTGCATTAAAATGGGAACGCGGCCCTCGTTGTAAGGCCCATCTGCGCCCCTTCGCTGTGTGTGACCGGCGGCGCTGCCTGCCCAAGGAGCGCGGCGCAGGGCCCCGCATCCCCGCGGGAGCGGGGCAAGAATGGTGGAAAAAGCGGGGGGAGGGGGAAGAAAATGTCAAAAGCTGGGCTCGTCCGGGATTTGAACCCGGGACCTCTCGCACCCTAAGCGAGAATCATACCCCTAGACCAACGAGCCGCCATGCGAACAGGTTTTCCGTCCTTCAACAGGAAGGCTAGAAAGCTGCTGTTGAAGGGGGTGAGCCTGGCCGGCGACCGTTACCGGTCGTTACCGGCCGTTGGCGGCGCCCGCCGGGGTCGGGGTGCAGAAGCGGGCGGCAGGTAGGCGCGGGCAGCGCTCGCCAGCCCTGAAGGCGCCCTTCTGTCCCCGCCTTGCCTGCGAGCTCCCGACGGAGACGGGGGAGAAGGTCCCAGGGAAACAGCGTTACATAAAGGAGAGGCGGTAGACGGGCTCCGCGACAAGCCGAGCCTTTGCCGGCTGCTGCCAGCCTCTCACCTGGCTCCTCGCAGCAACGGAGGCCAAAGTTTTCCCCCTGCCCCAGCCTGAGAGACCGCCCCCCCCGTGTTTTACCCCGGGCAGTGCCTGGGGGTGCCGGTGAGGGGTAAGTGGGCCAGAAGCCCCTCAAGAAGTGGTCAGGGCTTACAGGGACAGTTCTTCTGCAGTGGCCTTGTTGGGACAGCTCAAACTGATCTCAGATGTGCAGCCTGTCCTCTTTTTTTTTTTTTTTTTTTTTTTTTCTCTTCCTCTTGTTCCCTTCGATATCCAGGATGCCAGGAGCAGTGCCGGTTGTTGGACCGTTCCCGCCACAGCAATATGTCCTTTTTTTTTTTTTTTTTTTTTTGCAGTACCACATATTACTTCATTACTAATATATGCGTGATGTCGCTCTCTGGGTTTCTTCCAATCGCATTGCAACCCTGTCTACCCTTGTGTGCAAAATCTGCTTAATCTGTGTCCAGCCATTAACCGCAGCAGGTAAACCACAAACCCCAACCAAAAAAAGGGAAGTTCGTGGTTCATTTCCATAATTGAAAACTGTACTACAGCCAAGCAGTGGTGACATTACTTTCCTACTTTACAAGTGACGATTTTATACACACCTGTTTAAATACCAGAGCCCTCTTACAACAAACACTGGTGCTGGTCAGTCAGGAGGTCAGTGCTATCTTGACTCTTGGCTCCATAAAGTAAGAGTCGCTAAACTAACTTTGCCTTTATTCCAAGAAACTAGAGGGAAGGTAGGAGGGAGAGACATGAAGAATAATTGCTTTAATTTATGGGCTTTTTTATATATCAAGATTATCAGAATACTTGTGGCTCAGGCTGTTCCTTCCTTAGCATCAGTTCAGCACTAGAGTAGCTCATCATTAGCATCTTTTTCCATTGTAAGGGTTCCTCAGAACACTTATCTTTGCATAGTGGGTGATCCAAGACATTCTTCTTAATCGGATTACAGAAAAATAATTATCAACCTCTTCAAGTACCGTATGCAATTACTGTGCTGCTGGCAGCTCTGAGTTTTGAAAAAACTGCATTTCTATTTAACCAGAGTAAACATAAATGTATCTGCCAGTCATAATTTCTCCAACTTGCAGAGGAAAAAGTAATGCTGTGATAGACACCCAATACTTTATTTTACCAATAGAGCCTGTTTTTTCTTTCTCTCTCACGTTCTTCTCTTACTCACACAAAATGAGTGTGTTGGGTGGGGTACTTTTTGCAGGAATGCAAAATCTCTGCACACTAAACAGTGTCTACTGCACAATCCCTCCAGGAGGTACAGAGATGCAGGCTAAATAGAAAACAATCAAAACCATTAAAAATGTAAAATCAGCCTGAGTATATTTACTTCTCCTTTTAGAAGCTGTTACCCTTATTTTATCTGCCTTCATAATCCTGCTTGCTCTCTCTGGCAAGCCATTTCAGAGCTCTCCAAACTAGTAGGGTAACAAAGGTCTGAATTTCTAACATAAACAGCAACCATGAAAAAAAGTATTTAACCTCCTCCCCAGTGACACACACTTTTTTAGGTCTTCCTTTAGTGATAAGTGGAAACAAAAAAGCCACAAAAGCCTTTTTCCTTCCCATATGGACTGCTGATTTTACCGCAAAGCTCAGAAACCAGTCAGGCAACTTGATGACAGCTGGCTGGGAGGCTGCTGTGGTCTCTTCTGCCCCACTGTCTGGGCTGGGCAGCCTTGCTCTGTCACTGTCTGACCTTACAGGGAACGGGGTTCAGTGTGAAGAAAAGCGATTCCTCACCTCTCCATATGCAGACAGAAAAGAAAAAAAAAGAGTTTGTTGCCAGCTAAATGAGCTGAATTACTAAGAAATTTGGTAAATACCAGTATTATCAGTAGGCAGAGAGTAGTGTTGTGTGGCTAGAGGGAAAAAGGACAGCAGCAACTACAGCTTCAATTGGGTTAGTTTATCAGGGAGTTGTGTGCTGAGATGAGTCAAGGAATTGTGTAGTACAGCTTGTAGGCTCGGAATTTAACAGCTTATGCTGAGAAATGTTCTTTTTGTCATAACCTTAATAGTAACATGTCACAACCTACAAAATATATGTTTCTCAGGGCAAATTAGGTTTGCTGCAGCACCCCGCTTCCTCTTCTGGAAATAGCAGGCGACAATAATTCGATCATTACTATCTGGAAAAAAAACAGTCTACAGGAAGTAGACCAGCTTTTCCCTGTATTGAACCACTACACAGTGAATGGGACACTCGTTGGGCTGTACCTGTGACCAGCAGCCACACACAGCTGAGGAACCTGCTCCAGAGCCTCCCCCCAGGGTGTGAGCCATGACTGCGTACCTGGTTACATTTTAAATCCCAACAGAGCTGTGAACCTGGTGTCTGCATCATAGCTGGGAAAAAAAAAATAAAAAAAAAATCTGTTTTTGCAGGGGCTTGCTTTGTCATGGCCCTTCTCACCGTGGCAGATCATGGCAGGGCTTTCCTGGGGCCTCTTTCATCTGCAGGTGTGATCAGGTGGCCAGAGAACGGCAGAGAATCTGTGGTGGCACGGGTGGCTGGGAGAGGACGGGCATCCAGGGATGACTGGGCAGGAGCAAACGGAGCCCACTGCAGGCCTCTGGCTGGAGTGAGCAATAGCCTTGTGATATGACTAAGCTTGGGCAGCTTCCTTTAAGATACACAGCTTAGCTAAAGGAGAAACGTACGCAAGGGGCTTCCCAAAAGAGAGGGGAAGCTTCTGAGGGAGCCTGCGTTCCTTGGCAGCACAGGCCAGAACAGGCTCTCCGAGGAAATGGGGGAGAACCAGAAGGATCTCGGTGGGGTCGGGGAGCACCCATCCTCACCCGTGCCTCACAGGCCGCTTGCGGCGACCCCGCAGCCCCTCTGCAGACCCTGACCGACCAACGCACAGCTCCCTTTGCGTGACTGTCGGTCGCGGTCAATATTCTCTGGTGCACAACAGGCAGGCGCCTACCCTGCCTCCGCGGGCACTCGGGTAAGCTTCCCACGCAGGTGGTTAACGCGGGCGGCACCAGAGCCTGAGGCCGCGGGCACTCGACTGCCGCGGGCGCCCTTTCCGCCTCCCTGCGGAGGGCGGCCGGGGGGCGAGCAGCCCAGCCTGCGGGCGCGGTACGGGCTCCTCCTGTCCCCCACGGGGGCCGAGGCATTTGTCAGCGGTGAGACTCGGCGCTTCTAGGCCATCCCCCCCGCCACGGCTGGGGATGCCGCCGCGCTTCTGTGCGCGGGTCCCGCAGCCTTCATCGAACGCCACCGCCCCCACAGCAGCACGTCTGCCCTAGGGTGGGGGGGTAAACTAGCTACGTGCCCGGCTCGGGGGGCGGGCCAGTACGTTCCCTGCTCGGATAGGGCGTCCGGGCTTGACGGATCGTTCTCTTGGCCAATCCTCGGAGAGGAGCGGGGTAGGGCGGAGGCGGGGGCGAGGGGGGACGCAGGAGGTGTGTGCGAGTGACAGCGGCGGGGCCCTATCCCGGCGAGGGAAGGGGGCTGCGGGGCGCCGGGGGGCGGGCCCGCGGCCGGGGGCGGACAATGGGGGCGAGGGGAGGTGGCGGCAGGAAGATGGCAACGGCCGGAGGCACCGCGGGGCGCCCGGTGGTGGGGATCCCCTGCTCGGCGTGGCTGCTGGCCGCCACCGCGCTGACCGCCGGTGAGTGAGCGAGCGAGCGTGGGCTGGCCGGCCGGCCGCCTCTTCCACCGGGGGGCTGTGCTCGTAGCCTGAGCGGAGCTGCCCCAGCCGGGGGGAGCTGTCTGAGCCGACCTGAGGCGCGGCGGGCGGCGGCCTGGGTCGGGCCCGGCCCGGCCCGGCCCGGCGGGGACTGCCCGCCGTCGGGAGAAGGGGCCCGGCCCAGCAGGTGGAGGCGCCGCCGGGCCTTCGGGGGCCCTTCCCTGGCCTCTGCCTTGCCCCGCTCGGGGGGCTGAGGGCTGCTGGGGAGCCAGACGGTTCGTCCCTTTAAACGCCGGTGCTGATCGTGGTCGCCGGGTTACCGGAACGGGGGGGGGGGCGATTTGGCGGGCAGCTTACGGCTTTGCTGTTCGTTGCCCCCTCGGTTCAAAACCGGCCCCCTCCGCCTCAGTCGGCGGGGCTGGGGCCGGCGTCGCGGGTGCGTTTCCCGCGTAGCCGCGGGAGCCTGCTCCTTCCCCTCCCGCAGCTCCGGTGGCGGGCCCGGCCCACGCGGGACACGGGTGGGAGGGGAGGTGCGCCTTCCCCGCGGGCCGCGTCGCGGTGCCGGCGTGGCCGGGGCCCGGTGGTGCCGTAGGCGTGATGCGTGGCGGCGGCCACGGCCCCGTAGCAGCGGCGCTCGCCCGTTTTTTCCTCGGCGTCCCGGTTTGCTGGTGTCCAAACCACGGCGCTCGGGCGGTTGTTAAGTCGGGGGACGCGAGTCGTCTTTGTGGAGGAGAGGCGAAGCGTGGCGTGGAGGTGACCGGCAGATGGGGACGCTGGGGTTGCGGTAAAATGACTTAGAAAGCACCTTTGATTTGGTCAGTGGTGAAATATTTGGGCGGAGGGGTAATTACATCAGCCAAAATGAAGTGCTTATGACTCGTGTAGATGAAGGATAAGTAGAAAGCTGTGGAGCAGTAGAAACGGCAAGGATGATGCTTGACTTGGTTGTGGCTTAGATTCTTACAGGGCAAAGACTTCTGTGTTTAACATCCGATTCTGAAGTGAAAAGATTGTACACGTTTCCCAAGGTAGCTCAGTGTGTGTAGGTACTAGGGGTGAACAACGATGGTATGTCACCTGAAAGTATTTTTGGTTACCAATACTTGCTTAGTAGATAAAACTTTACAAAGTAAGTTAATAGGAATCATTAAAGAAGCCTGATGACTTCTCGGGTTATCTGTCTGGAAAATTGTAAAATTATTACATCCATCTGGAAGGAGGTTTGGTAAGGAACTGTGCTGAGCACTAGGAAACTTAAAACTTCTTATTTCCAAATAGTACTGTTGTTTGGATTTGTTTAAGATTACTGCATTTTGCAGTAAACATAAGTAGAGATCACTCAGGCTTGCTGTATATCTGCAGAGACAGCCTTAATATTTAGAATTAAGTAGGTAGATATGACATATGCATAGTTTACAGTAAAACTAGGTTCTTTGAAAATAAGTATGGAGACAGGAGAAGAAAGGGTGCATATTTCCCCTGACCACAACAAAAGGTACAACTACAGTAATGCTATGGGTAGCTAGGTGTCGTAGATCATTCTACAAAGTCTGAGGTATGTAACCATATATAGTATCTTAAACCCAAGCAAAGCTACAAGATATTCTTTTGGAAGAGACCCTCCCTAGGGTGGAGACTCCCTAAAAAGTGAATAAATGGATGTTAAAATCACTATTTTACCTGTGTTGGACTATGTTTCTGTTCCCATCCCTACAACTGTGGATATTTTTCTTACCCCAAATCAGAAGTTACTCCCATGTTGGCCGTTTCTCTCTGTGCTTATACTGCACATCCTTAATCCCCCTGTCTGCTTTGAAAAGGCACTTTTTTTTTTGTCCATGTGTGGAGCTGGCGCAAGGTTGTCAAGGTTTAGGCTGGGCTGGCCACTAAATGAGCAACAGATGTTCTCTATTAACCCCTCTCCCTTCACTGGAGAAGGGGAAGGGAGAGAGAATAAGGGGAAGAGAGAGACTTGGAAGTTGAAAAAACCTAAAACCTTAATAAGAAAGTAATGAAATACATACTAATCCAATATTGAGCTCTCAGGATGATGATTGTGTCACTGGCAGGTACTGGGAAAGTCCTAGACTGAACATGGCAATGGACAGGAGCTGAATTCAGGAATGCACAGATTGGGATCAAAGGCAGATGAATAGACAGAGTCCTCCTCAGACATTGGCCATTGAAGAAAAAGAGCTGACCCCTTTGATCCCTCAGCTTTATACTGAGCAGATGGGATGGAATACCCTGTTGGCCAGTTTTGGGTCGCCTGTCCTGTCCGCTCCTCCCTGCACATGGGACCCCTCTACGCTTTTCCGTTTCTGACTCTCCAGTGGGGCAAATAAAATTAGCTGACCTTGGCTGTTAGAGCAATAATTATAAGCAAGAGCCTCTCTGCACACCATTCCTTTGTATTAATTATAAACGTCAGGCCTTATAACTGCTGGTACCAGAGACTGTCTGAAGAATATGCTGTTAATTTCAGAGTTCAGGCAGTTTGAAAAGACTTAACTGAAAAGTAAAAAATACTGAAAAGAAAATTGGTTTTGTTCTCTCTCAAACCAGGACAAAGGTTTACATCTTTGGACAGGAATAAGTGACCAGTGTGCAGGCTTTTCACCTTTTTTGCATATGCAAAGTAGCTTGGTAACTGGTAGGGAAAAGATGACCTTCTCTAGAGTTTGGGGTGTAAGGAGTCCTGTGTAGTAAATACTCCACCTTTTTGGCTCACCTTTTATACTCTTGCCTGTGTAATAAATACTCTGTCTGTCTTGTTCCTGTTTTTTTTCTGGGACCTGCTTTCTGTTCCCCTTTCCTCATGCTGAATTTTCATCTAGTGAGAGGTTTAGAAATCAAAAACTGCCAAGCAAAAGGGCAAGAGCAGAAGTGGCATTTTTGGAGGGCTGTTGCTGCTCAATTGCTTGGATGTGATGTGAGGCTGGGTAACGTGCTGCATCGCTTAGTTGCCGTGGTTTGTGGCTCTTCTTCTGCCTCTTCATAGGCTTGATGGCAGACCTGTTTCCTGTGGTCAATAACCTGCAGCGAGACACATATTACTTGGGGGGTGTGTGTGTGTGTGCTGTGTTGTACAGGCTTGGTTTAACATCACAGTCTACTTTGCCAAGCCAAGCAGGTAACAGTTGCTTCACAGCTGGGTACAGATAACGGCAACAAAGGACCACGTGGCAGCCGCTCGTGCAGACCGGAGCCCCCACCACCGCCACAGCCGTGAGGGGAAAATCGGAAGAAAAAGGCAAAACTCCTGGGTTGAAACAAAGGCAATTTAACAGAACAGCATGGAATACCTGTGTCCCTGCTACGTCCTGGGGAGAATTAACCCTATCCCTGCCAGACCCAGGACATCATCCACCCCTTGTTCCGTACCATTTCACACCATGCCCAGATCCTACAGTTTCCAGTTAAATACTATCAGTTTCCCCTGACATATATATATGTCTCTGTACAGGAATAATGTCCTATGACCCATCACTCTAAAATGTCCGTTGAGTTCATTTAACCCATGACTTTGAGCTCCATCTGTTAGAACAGTCTCTCGGGACATGCAAGATGGTGTGCGTGGGGCTGGACTGTCGCATGCTGTATTTCTGGGGGCTTGTGGCTGATGTATCTGGTGCAGCTCATGTCCATGGTCCATGGGTTGGAGATGTTGATCTCAATGAAGTTGCTGGGTGCCATCTGCTGAGGTCAGTTCTGATCCCTTCACTGCTGCACTTTACTCGGTTTTCATCAGAGTCCATTTGTCATTAGTTTGGGTGATTCTTACTATAGTACGACCAATAGCAGTTACCAAAATGAGATGTACAGTGACAGGGTCATTTAGCAATTAACATCATACAGTTTCATTCATTGGCTAGTCTTGCCCAAAATCAGGTTCCTGTATGGTACACACTGCACTTCCCCATCCTTCCGCATCACCCACCAATTGCATCTGGGTCCTTGAGCAAAGGCTATCCCATGGATGGGTTTGCCTTTGCCTGAGGCAGGACTGACCCAGACTGTCTTCCCTAATGTATTCTTCACGTGCACTATGGGGACTCTATCTCCCTCCTCAGTACATGGGGGTTTGGACTGGGCAGGGCCAGCTTGGTTGGTAGATCCCCTGGTGTTAACTAACCAGGTAGCCTTTGCTAACTGTGTATCAGGGCATATATGAACAGGGCATATCTCTTCTCATTTTCTGGTAGTTCATTATATGGTGGAGCCTCTTCTGCACGCCTCACCTCCTCCTCTGGTGACATTCCAAAATTCTTGCCTTCTGGCCAGTCCATAATCACCTCTAGAATTCCTGGGCAACAGGGGTTCCCCATTCGAGTTCACTGCGTGATCAGTGCAATCCACTTACTCCATGTAGCACCCATTGCATGATGTGTAGCAGGGACCCTTTCTTTGAACATCCAGCCCAGCATTGGCAGCCGAGGTGCCAAGAGGAGCTGTGCTTCTGTACCAACCACTTCCGAAGCGGCTCAAACCCCTTTATATGCTGCCAGTATCTCCTTTTCTGTCGGAGTATAGTGGGCTTCGGATCCTCCAAAACCCTAGGGGTCGATTGTGTGTCTCCCCTGGGGCTTTCTGCCAGAGGCTCCAGGTAGGGCCGTTCTCTCCGGCTGCGGTGTAGAGCATGTTTTTAACATCTTGTCCTGCCCATGCTGACCCCAGAGCTACTGCATGGACTATTTCCTGTTTAATTTGTTCAAAAGCTTGTCGTTGCTCAGGACCCCATTTAAAATTGTTCTTCTTCTGGATTACTTGATACAGAGGACTCACAATCAGACTGCAATCTGGGATATGCATCCTCCAAAAACCCACAATGCCTAGGAAAGCTTGTGCTTCCTTTTCACTAGTCGATGGAGACATAGCTGCTATTTTATTGATCACGTCCATTGGGATCTGATGGCATCCATCTTGCCATTTTACTCCTAAAAACCGGATCTCCTGTGCAGGTCCCTTGACTTTACTTTGTC